GGGATCTAATTAAACTAAAGAGCTTCTGCACAGCAAAAGAAACTACCATCAGAGTGAACAGGCAACCTACAGTATGGGAGAAAATTTTTGCAATCTACCCAGTTGACAAAGAGCTAATATCCAGAACCTATAAAGAACTCAATCAAATTTACAGGAAAAAAAAACAATCCCATCAAAAAGTGGGCAAAGGATATGAACAGACATTTCTCAAAAGAAGACTTTCATACAGCCAACAGACACATGAAAAAATGCTCATCATCACTCGTCATCAGAGAAATGTAAATCAAAACCACAATGAGATACCATCTCACACCAGTTAGAATGGCAATCATTAAAAAGTCAGGAAACAGCAGGTGCTGGAGAGGATGTGGAGAAATAGGAACATTTTTACACTGTTGGTGGGAGTGTAAACTAGTTCAACCATTGTGGAAAACAGTGTGGCGATTCCTCAAGGATCTAAAACTAGAAATACCATTTGACCCAGCGATCCCATTCCTGGGTAAATACCCAAAGGATTATAAATCATGCTGCTATAAAGACACATGCACATGTATGTTTATTGCGGCACTATTCACAATAACAAAGACTTGGAACCAACCCAAATGTCCATCAATGATATACCAAATTAAGAAAATGTGGCACATATACAGCATGGAATACTATGCGGCCATGAAAAAGGATAGTTGATGTCCTTTGTAGGGACATGGATGAAGCTGGAAACCATCATTCTGAGCAAACTATCACAAGGACAGAAAACCAAACACCACATATTCTCATTCATAAATGGGAGTTGAACAATGAAAACACTTGTACACAGAGTGGGGAACATCACACACCGGGGCCTGTCGTGGGGTTGGGGAGGGATTGCATTAGGAGATATACCTAATGTAAATGATGAGTTAATGGGTGCAGCACACCAACATGGCACATGTATACATATATAACAAACCTGCACGTTGTGCACATGCACCCTAGAACTTAAAATATAGAAAAAAAAAAACTTTACGATATTATATGCCCATTTCTCCCTGCAACCTCTGTGCTATTGTAGTCATATATTTTGCATTTACATATGTTATAAACCTCACACTACATTGTTATTATTTTTGCTTAAATAGCCCACTATTAAAGATATTTAAATACTTTTTAAAACATCTTACCTATTTACCTGTGTAATTAATCATTTCCAGTGTTCTTCCTTCCTTTGTGTAGATTCATATTTTCATCTATTATTCTTCTTCCATTTCTTGTAGCGTGGGTCTGCTAGTGATAAATTCTTTGAGCTTTCATATAACTGAAATGTTTTTATTTGGCCTTCATTTTTGAAAGATATTTTTGCCTGATACAGAATCCCTGGTTAACAGTTTTCTTTTCTCTTTCAGTGTTGTAAAGATTTTGCTTCATCGTCTTCTCACTTATATTGTCCACAATGAAAAATCTTTTATTTGTCCCTCTGTATATAATGTGTCTTTTTTCTCTGGTTGCTTTTAAGATATTCTCCTTATCACTGGTTTCAAGCAATTTGATTACAAGATGTCTCAGCATAATTTTCTTCATGTTTCTTGCACTTGGCATTTGTTGAGTCCCTTGAATCTGTGGGTTTATAATTCTCATCAAATTTGAAAAAATTTTGGCCATTGTTTCTTCAAACTTTTTTCTGGTGCCTTTTCTTTCTTTTTCTCTGTCAGGGATTCCAATTACACGTATATGAGGCCATCTGAATTTTTCCTACTGTTCACTGATGCTCTATTCATTTTGTAATTCTCTTTTCTATGTGTGTTTCATTTCAAATCATTTCTATCTCTGTGTATTCAAGTTCACTAATGTTTTCTTCTGCAATGTCTAATCTTTTATTAATTCCATCCAATGTATTTTTTACCTCACATATTGTGGTTGTCATTACCATAAGCTTGATTTGGCTGTTTTCAAAAATATCTTCCAGCCAGGCGTGGTGGCTCATTCCTGTAATCCCAGCACTTTGGGAGGCCGAGACGGGCGGATCACGAGGTCAGGAGATCAAGACCATCCTGGCTAACACGGTGAAACCCCACCTCTACTAAAAAATACAAAAAATTAGCCGGGCATGGTGGCGGGCGCCTGTAGTCCCAGTAACTCGGGAGGCTGAGGCAGGAGAATGGCGTGAACCCGGGAGGCAGAGCTTGCAGTGAGCCGAGATCGCGCCACCATACTCCAGCATGGGCGACAGAGCAAGACACTTTCTCAAAAAAAAAAAAAAAAAAAATAGTCTTCCATGTCTCCACCTAACTTTTTGAACACACAGAATACAGTCGTAATTAACTTTTTTATCCTTGTCTGCTAATTCTAACATCTGTGTCAGTTCTGCTTCGATTTCAATTAATTGATTTATCTCCTCCTTATTAGTCACAGTTTCCTGCTCTTTCCATGCTAGGGAATTTTTTACAGGATGCCAGACATTGTGTATTCTACTTTGTTGTTTGTTTATATGTCTTAATTTCTATTATCAGTGGTTCTCATCTAAAGGCAGTTTTGTTTGTCTGAAGACATTCTTTGTTGTTACAACTGGAGGGTGCTGTTGGTACCCAATAGGTATAGGCCAGGTATGAGGGTAAACGTCCCGCAATACACAAGACAGCCCCCACAATAAGAATTATGAAGCCCAAATATGTCAATCATTCTGAGGTTGGGAAACCTTGCTGTAAGTATTCTTGAGTTTTGTTCCGGGACTTAATTAAGTTTGTTGGAAATTGTTTGATCCTTTTGGGTCTTTCTGTTAAGCTTTGTTAAATGAGACCAGAACAGTATTAAGTTTAGGGCTAATTATTTCACCATACTGAAGCAAGAACCTTCTGTGTACTCTACTTGTCTTAGTTCACTCAGGTTGCTATAACAAAATACCAAAACTGGGTAACTTATAAACAACAGAAATTTATTTCTCACAGTTCTGGAAGCTGGAAGTTTGAAGCCAGGGCACCATCATCATCTAGTTCTTGGTGAGGGCCCACTTTCTGGTTTGTAGATTGCTATCTTCTTGTTGTACCTTCAGAGGACAGAGAGAGAGAGAATGACAGAGAGAGAGAGAGAGAGAATGACAGAGAGAGAGAGAGAGAGAGAGAGAGAGAGAGAGAAAGGAATCAAGCTCTCTCCTGTGTCTCCTAAGGGCATTAATCTCATCACTGGGGCTCCATCTTAGTGACCTAGTAACCTCCCAAAGGCCCCACTTCCTAACACTGTCACCTTGGGGGTTAGGATTTCAACATATGAATTTGGGGGGCAGGGGGTACATAAAAATTCAGACTGCAGCACTACCCAATACACTAATTTTAGCTGCTTGGGAGCAGGAGCTATTCCCAGCCCTGTGTGAGTTATGAGCACTGTTCTTTTAACTATTTGGGATAGTCCCTTTTCAAACATTAAATAGTTTCCTCACGTGGGCTAGTGAATCTACATTGAGTTTGTTCCATCCTCACTTCACTGCTAGTACCCAACCTCAGAACATTCTAAAGATGCTTAACACTCATTATATCTCACCCCCACCCCAGACCTACTCCTCCTCCTGTATCTCCAGTAAATGGTGCCAGTCCCTTAAATTAGAAACACAGGAGTTGCCCTCCACTTCTCCCTCCTCATCACTCCAATATTCAAGCAGTTATCAAATGCTGTCAATTTGATCTTGCCAGTGTCCCCTGCACCCTGTCCTTACTTTCCAGCCTCCCTGTCCTTGCCCTTTTTAGACCATCATCATGTCCTGCTTGGGCCCTTCATGTGACAATCCCAGCTTGCATCTCCAGCATCCCCCTCCCCCTCCGCCATACACCCTCACTTCCAGTGCTACAGAACCTTTCATTGCTTATGAAGCAGGCCTTGCCCTTTCACAACTCTATGCCTTTGCACACGCTATTCCCTTTGCCTGAAATACAGTTCTTCTGTTTTCTGCCTGGCAAATTACTTCTCATACCTCAGATGTCACCTTCTCTGTCAAGCCCTCTTTGATTTCTTGAGGCACCTATTCACCCCTGCCCCTCCATGCTCCTGCTATGTTCTGTTTACACTGCGTTAACAACACTGGTCACATCTGTTTGCACTGATGCTTTCCCTATTGCTATAGCTCCTAGGGATCTAACAATCCCTATATGTGCTTGCTATGGACTGAATTGTGTCCAACTTCCAAAAAACTCATATGCTGAAGCCCTAACCCCCAATATCACTATACCTGGAGATAGGCTCTTCAGCAGGTAATTAAGGTCAAATGAGGTCATAAGGGTGGAGCCCTAAGCAGATAGGACTGCAGCCTTATAAGAAGAAGAAGAGATCTCTCTCTCTCTTCCTCTGCCGTGTGAAGACATAGCAAGAAGGAAGCCATCTACAAGCCAGGAAGAGAACCCTCACCAGAACTTGACCATGCTGGCACCCTGATTTTGGATTTCCAGCCCCCAAAAGTGAGAAAATTAATTTCTGTTGTTGAAGCCACACAGTCTCTGGTATTTTATTAAGGCAGCCAGGCTGACTACTACAATGCTTAATGCATGGTGAGTGCATTTTTAAATGAATGAAAAAGGAAGAAAGAAACAGAAAAGGGAGAGGTGGAACAAATGGGGAGAAAGATGAAGAAACTGGAAGATAAGAATAAGAGAAACTAAGGAAACAGGAGGAAGAAGGTAGAGGATGGGAATGAGCTCATGAAGGAGCCAATATCTCAGTGGAGACCATGCCAGTGTCAGGGAACTACTGTCAACCAGGAGGCAGGTGGGTACAGGATCCAGGGCCAGTGGTGAGCATCCAGGCACAAGACTTTTACGAGTGTGTGTGTGTGTGTGTGTGTGTAATTTTTTCCCCTAGAGGTAGCCTAGAGTGGCCACCTTTGTGCTTTTCTCAGCTGTGTCCTCATTGGCTGGGCAACAGCTGGGTGCCCTTGCCTCCCCAGCCAAAGGCAGCCGCTGTCCACACCCGGCTGCCTGAGGGACAAGGAGGGTGTTTACCCAATGGCCTGTGTCCTCAAAGGACTCTGCTCTCAGTTACACAGCCAACAGCTGGCCCCGAAGGGGCCTTGTCCTAGCAGCCGCGACCTGGCGGCTGCTGCAGCGTTTAAGTTTCTACTATGAAGATGCTTCCCCCATCCTCATGCCTCCTCCCAGGGGTGGGCATGAGGGACACTTACGAGCTGAGACCTCACAGGTGACATTTTTTTAAGCTGCTCGTTCTGCATGAACAGTCCCCAAAACGAACACTAGACTTTCTGTCGCCCAGGGCTTGTGCAAATTGGTTTCAGACTCTGCCACCCACTGCCGCAGACAGCAGCGGTCTTCCCAGGAAGAAGACGTTTCCTGGCAGGGTACCGGGACGGAAGGGCGGGGGCGCAGGGCAGTGCCAGCCGGGCCCAGGAAGTGAACACGCTGGGCCCGCGAAGCAGCG